AGAGGATACTTGGTCAAGGGCCGGAAGTCGTGAGCTGCTTGAGTCATATGTAAAAGAATCGTTTGTGGCTACTCCCAAGTGAATGGCGATCAGAAAACTTTCCTCACTTGCATGAGCTTCTACACATGACTCCATCCGCCAGTGCGTGTAGAATGTGATTGCAAAAATGTATACTTAAAGTATAGGAAACATGGCTATTATAATTATCTCTTGATTTATCTTACAATAAAAAATTGTGTTTTACTGTTCAGACGAATTATTATGAACTATTATGATATGTCATACCAAATTTTTCGACAATGGTTATCTCATTTGGTCCACTCATTATCAAAAATAATTTCCAATTTGTCCATGAATAAGTTAACTAAAATGCTTAAAAATATATAGCATATTTATTTATGTCAAGAAGATATAATTAAAACTTTTGATAACAGCATTCAATTTATTCTATAAGATAAATTTAAAATAGTAGTTATAAATGTACAAATGTATAGTACTGTGAATTTATAATTTAATATTAAAGCATTTTTGCTTTACGCAACCCGTTTAAACCTCTCGCCACCCTTATTCAACAGAGATGTTTTTATTGTGACCTTACACTGGGAGGCTGGTTAAGGACTGTGAATGGCTCTTTTGCTACGGTGAATGGGACTTCCTCAACTCCATTGTACCATGGTTTACGCAACGGGGACTGAAAAAGAGCTCTGCATATAACCGCCTGCCATATAACCACCTGGTTCCTTCAATAGCCTTGCTTGCGACCTCAGTTAGCTTTTTTATGGTCTATTGTTGACCTGTGTCTTCGAAAATCATATTGGTTGTCGGCTAAGCCCGGCGGCTCTCTTTCTAGATGTTGCTGTAGCCGCACACAGATTATACGCTCCAGAATTTTCCCCCATTGTGTCCAACATACATAGTTTTCGGTAGGATCCTGGCTATCCTGCTGGTTTATTTGGCTTTTGTATAAGCACTAGCCGCAGTTTTTTCCAGATCTTAGGGAATACTCCCTCTCGTAAACATCGCGTATAAACTTCTGTAAACGGAGTGGGTTTATAGTTAATAGCCAGTTTTAGGGCCTTATTCGGGATGCCATCTAGGCCTGATGCTTTCTATGGTTTCTTGGTCAGTGACTAGCGGTGCATTTGTAGCTCCAGATTATTTTATTTGCTGGCTCTGTGGCAATTGCGTCGGAAAAAGAGTTTGGACAACCGTCTTTAATAAACTAGGCATATAGGCGCTTGTCCTTTATAGTCTTTAATCTTTGACATGACGATTTTATATGCATCTCCCCACGGATTTTCTTCAACCTTGTTGCAGAGCTCTTTAAAACAACAGGCTTCGCTCATCTTTATTGCTTTCTTCAGTTCATTTCGCTTTCGTTTAAAGCGCTCGTTTAGCATTGCAAAATCCGCCGTTTGTCGTCCCTTTTGACACTGGCGCCTCGCTTTGTGGCATTCACTCCTTAGAGCTTCAATAGCCTCATTCCACCAGTATGCGAGTTTCCTGTACGTGCCTTSTTTTTTCTCACACATAGCGGCATCGCAAGCTTTGCTCACATATCTAACAAGGCATTCAGCCTTCTTTTCTATGTCTATAGCGTAGTTCAGATTATCATCTAGCATTAATTTGTACATATCCTCATCAAGGGTTTCAGTTTTCCAGCCTGTGTTTTGAACTTTTTTGAGATACTTAGGCATTTTGTGCGATTTGTCAATTTCAAGCAGAATTGCCAAGTGGTCACTGTGTGCATACAAGYCGCTCACTTGCCATGTACACGACCGCACAAGGGAGCTACTAGCAAACGTAATATCGATTACAGAACCGCGGCCGTTTTTTCGAAGGTATTTCTGTTACCGGTATTCAGCAAGACGGTGTTCAGTACCGAAAACGCTTTCAGAAGTCTTTCTCCTCGTCTATTTGTGTGTGTGCTATCTCACTCCACTGCCCATGCATTGAAGTCACCTGCCACAACGTTTATTGTGGTGCTTGGCACTTCTCGTACAAGGTTATCAATGATTGTTTCATATTCACCTTGTGCGATGCTTGKCGGAATGTAACAGCTATAGAAGTTTATTTCGCGAATCTTTGCCCGTGTGTAATAGGCTTGTCCTGTTAGTGGCTTTTCTTGGAACACGTTAGCTCCACAGGCACAAATGGCCGCTTTTCCCGTTAGGTCGGAGGTCCACGTTGCTGCGCTAACGTTTTTGTATTGTTCGCAGACTATTGCCACGTCGATTTTCGGCTCAAAAACTGTATACATAAGCATTTCTTGTGCTGCTTCGCAGTGGTTGAGGTTGAGCTGTAGAACTCTCATATTTTGGCTTTTTTGCACGCTTCTTGGTAGAGAGGACATTTCTTGCTACCTATCTGATGGTCAGAGTTTTCCTTTCCTTGCTTCTTACATGCATTGCAAGACGGCTCCTTGTTGCATGTCTTTGCAAAGTGGCCTTTTTCCCCACACTTGAGGCAGCACTGACTCCTATCGTCTGAGTTTTTGCAGGTTCTTGCCAGGTGGCCATATTCCAAGCACCGGAAGCATTTTTAAGGTTCGGCTTCTCCCTAATCCTACACACTACCCATCCTATTTTAATTTTTTTGGCTTCAATAAGTAGCCGGGCCTGTAATGCGGGGAGGCTTATCACAGCTGTTTGGGTGCTTGCGTATGACGCCCTAATGCCTCTGATTGAGCCTTTATCAAAATGCCCTAGTTTGCTATTTGCGTGCGAATAGCATTGGCAATGTCTTCCTCTCCGGTTATTTCATCCAGATCCCGGTTTTCCGCAGTGGTCTCACTCGTTAGGGCTTTAATTTTGGCTTGGTCTCCAAGCACTTTGCCTATTTCGCTGGTGTATTCAGCAGTGTCTTCCATTTGCACGCTCTTTAATTCCATTAAAATGTTCACCTTTGGCCTTTCTAATCCGGGTTACACTTTCCCCCAGCTTCTGCAGGGTTTCTTCTTTTTTAACAGTCCTTAAAATGTTGCTGTATGTCATATTGCCGGTTCGCGCAATCACTATCGCGTCAGGCCTAGGTCGGTGCTTATTACTGTCTTCTTTTTCTTTCTGATTTCTATCCAGCCATCTTGTTTTCCCGCTTTCTGTCCATTGTTGATTGAGGTTGACTTATCTCCTATTTCCTCGTTATTTTTATACTTCTTTGGTTCCTCTCCATGGCTGGTTTTATTCTTTTTTGGAGGAGTCTGCCTTTTCGCCTGTTTTTCTTCGCCAGGTCTTTTAGGCGTTATTTCCGTTGTTGCGGGCATATTTAGGATACTCCGTCTTGTTTCGTTGCTTTTTTGGTACTCCCCTAAGGCTTTTTCGTACGTCTTCGTTATATTGCCAACGAGGTCCCTAAGGCTATTGTTGATTGTTCGCTGCGGTGGCGGCATCATTTCTATCAACTTCTTTATTTCTTCACTAAGATCAGTCATGTGGTCGCCGTGAGGTTTTACCGCCTTCGTTTGCGGCGTGTTGTCTTGGAGCGCTGGTGGTAAGCATCTTTAGGGGAGATCTGCTAGGTCGCGAAGATCGCTCAAATCTATCTATTTCCATTACTGGTGTCATTTGGGAGTCAGTTCGTGGCACTTTGTGATTATTCACATCTCTTGCGTTTCCCGCGTCGTTTCCCAGTATGGTAGCATAAATGTTACTGCTACTGTTGCTGCTACTTCCGCTGTCGTTTGTGTTGTTTTTTGCCATTTCAAATTCCATTCCTTTCTTTTGTATCAGCGCATCGTGTGTAAGAGGGCGGGCCGAAATAAACAGGAGCGGGTGTACTCTCGGTGGCTATGCACCTACCCCAGTTCCCTGAGGCCTGTTCTTCGCTTTACTGGTCGCGGAAAACACGGACGGACCAGCGCTCGCCCGGGGCAACGCAGACTAATAATCTTGCGCCCAATGCACACTCCTTGACCAGAGCCCGAAGGGGCCGGTTCCTGATGGACACCGCGGCTAACACCTCGGCAGAGCAGGCTCACATCACCCTATCCATCTCGGCAGCAGAGAAGTCGCTGAAAAGATTTAAAGGGACTCCCAGTGCGCCGCGATGTACAACGGTCAAAATAAACTTTGACAGCCGCACCTGACATGGTGAACATACGCTGACCAGGAAGCCGCTCATTGTGAGTCCGTCGCGTTGTATTCCCCACCATGCCCGCGCAAGGTGGGGGAGGATACATATTTTTGAGAGGCGGTATCGGCTCGCCTCTGTCGCAGGGGTTTCATCGGCTTAGCTTGCTTTTTTACCGCAACCTCCACTCCTGCCGCTCCTCGTCGGGGGTTGCTTATTCGTCATAACTTATTTCGCAACTAACCTGCTACTACAGGCCGTCCGGCTATCCGCGACCTGCCGACCCCCCCGATAGCTTAGAGCTCAGCTGAAAAGTCTGGTTCCAATGAGAAACCAAGACCATAGGGAAGGTACTAGTATGGCCACAACGAAATTGTGAACATGCAAAATGGACAACTGCGTTCCTTTGTGTATATGCCGGCCATTGTTATGTTGCTGCCCTCTCACAAACGTTCATGTAGTAGGATTCAGAACACCGTTTTCAGTTCACTGTCGTGCTGCTGCAGTTTGTCGCGAGCATTGTGTTCCGCGCATAACGATCGTTCGTTAAAATGGTTGGCACAGTAACCTTTTGAGCGACTACAGCGATTGTCTAATGTGTAGAGGGATTTCATACTATATGTTAGATTATTGAGGGATTTTGGTAAGTGATGCCTCTGCATCACATATTTATATATTTACTGTATATTCTTCTGCAGTGCATAAAGTTACAGTTGATTATAACTATCTTAAAACTTTTACTAGTAAACATGTTTTAACATTATTTTTTCAGAAATTGCTCAGGACGCTTGGAAATACAACCTTGTAAAGGCCATTGTGGTTATCCGGTAACCCATTTTTGGCGTCGAGCTAGTAATGTTATATTTTTTCAAGCAAAAGGGACACATGACCACCCAAAGCCGGAAGCCAAGGGATCAACTGAAGCACGACGTCTTTTTGGTAATAGCCGACGTATTCGCAATACATTTACTACGCTTACACAACGAAAAACTTCTCGCAATAATAAATACCGCAGTACTAATAACCACTTTATGAACCCACAGCACCGGTTACATAAATTAGAAGAACAAAGGAACATAACGAATTATTGTAGTATTTATGAAAGTTCTCACAACGTAGCTCCATTTGCTCAAGAGCAAGAAAATCTGGAACAGTCTAGACTTTTACCTACAGAAATTACTCCTTTCATGTCCGCAAATGTATGCTTAAATACAACAACGTTAACGGATAATTTGAATTTAAACCACATGAATGCGGTTTCCAATGTTAACAGACTTGAAAATAATTTTACAATACTCGAAAATTGTCCACCACCATCTGCTATGACATCTTCAGTTTCCCTTTTTTACTCTCCTTCTATGCAGAATCAGCAATTACAAAATACGACAAAGAAATCTAAAATAATGGAGTTAAATTCTACAAGCGAAACACAATTCACACCAGTTTATCATGAACCGCGCCGATTTCATGAAAATTATGATGACACATCCAGTATTAATTCTAGTTCCGGCTACAATTCAGATGATTATTACTATCCCTCCTCGACCTCTCTAACTTTTGCCAGTAACCAACGCCAAGAATTAGCAAGATCAGTTGCTTACTTTGCAGCTCAAACTACTGAAATATATAATACAGTATTTGAACCTGTTTCGATGCAACAGATTCAGCTACCTAATGTTTCTAAAGATTTTCATTTCGACTTTATTGAAGAATATGAAAATATCAACTACCATGAAAAAAATATCGAAAATCATCAAACACAGTACCAGCACGCTACTTATGAAAACAACACCAATTCTGAGTTTTATTATTCTGGACACGATAACGCATGGAATTATTGTATTTAATTATTTAATTTGAAATAAATACAACTAGTTTAATAATTTTGTTTGTAAATACATATATAAGTACATACCTTAATTTTTGCTAACAACACAGTAATAACAATCTAATAAAATCTATTGTAAAGGTTGGTACCCAGCTCTAAAGTAATTGCGCAAGATAAAAAATTAATTATTTCTTCAAGTAATTTTGAATGCTGGTTACGCATTGTATGATCCACAATAGAAGAGCAAGAGAGAATAAGCGAAAGAAAATAAACCTTGTGCGTAATATGTATGTATGTATGTGTGTCGTAACATAAATTGCGACTTAAGGAATGTTGTTGATGATTGGTAAGTTTTATACAACATTTCAAAAAGAAATATCCTTCATAATAATGAATTTAACTAATTTATGATGAATTTAACGATTACTTTGAATTTCCTTCAAGAAACAATTGATGAATTAATGTTTCTTCGCAAAACCAGGTTTGCCATATTCGCATTTTATTGAAAAAAGTATTAAAAGTAGAACAAGATTACTTTAGAGCTGCATACTAGTACAAGTAAATTTATCGCAGGAAAGTTTCTTGACCGTTTCTCAAACGTTTTTTTATATGAAGTTTGTACATTTCTTGAGAGCTGGATATTAAGCTTAAATAAATACATTTAAAAAACAAATAAAGGAGGGCTAAGTTCGGGTGTAATCGATCATTTTATACTATCGCAATTTGCGATGCTCCAAAGCGGGGAATATTTTCAGCACTCATACAAATCAATACAAACTGTATAAAGTCAACTGCATAATCAAAAACATTATGTTGAGTCCACAGGAAAGTCTGGATTCATTACATTTACTTTGAACATTCAACTGGAGTACAGTGTGTTAAAAAATTAAAAAAAATGGTGTTAAGTACACAAAATTTTTTGAAACAGATTTTTTAACTACGCATCCTAAAAATCCCAAATGAACTATTAAAAAAACTGCAAAGTTATAAATACGAGTTAGGCGAGTTAAATACGAGATGCGCAATGTAATTTTTATAATTATTTCATAATTCTATTTTCCCTAACAAAGGGAAAGATTTTTTTGAACGCACTGTATGTTTGAAAATATGTTTCTATATTTGGTATAAAGCCCATTAGAACAACAATAGCCCATTAGAACAACATAGGATCAGGTGCATAAAGTATCCCCTATCTTTAATTGCCTATATAAAGTTTATTTTTAAGGCGAATCGTTCCACTTTTAGAACTTTTCAATATAATTTTTGTGATCGCTCATTTTCATACTATACGATGGAATTAAATAATCCCATTAAGTTTATGTACTGTGATCCTTTGTACCAAATTTTTATATTGTAGTTTTATTTTCCCTTAGTTATAGCATATTATGGGCCTTCGCATAATGACATTTTGTGTGCCAAATGAACATGTGTTCAAGTTACAAGTGTCAAAATCAGATGTGATAATGTAAAAGGTTTGCAATGCTGACAAGTAGACGGTGAGAAATCAGAGTCGCTTAGAGAGTTTTTTAACCATGTGATTTTGTACTGTGATACAGTCTCAAGGCTCTAAATTTGAGATTTTAAGTCAGAGACAATTTTTAAGGCTGCTTGCTATTTTGTAAGTGGCAGTAATACAATTTATTACATTTCATTATTCAAAAATGTTTTTACCCTTATATGAAAATAAATATGTCGATAACAAATGTAAAATTTCTATAACATAGTCAAAAAACATAATTACCAATAAAAATAATTATATACACATCTGCTCAAAATAGTAGTTACACAATACTTTTTCAAGTAAAACTCACGAATAAAAAGTTTTATTTAAATTTTTTAGAAAAACGCAAACGTACTTATATTTTCCAAATATTTACAAGCTTATTTAAATAAACTTCATTTAACAAAAAAACAAAGCAAACAAATGTAGATCCAAAAACATTTCATAGCTAAAATAAACTTGCTCAAAAAAATAGGTACATTTTAATAAGACAACTATTTTGGAAAAGCAAATTATGATAAAATAGTTTTGTTGTATATTTAACATTACTCAGTTAATAGCCAGTGTATCCACCACTATTACTTTATTTGTTCGTTTGGGCATACTACTGATTAAAGTCTGACAGGTTTCTCTAGGTATCTCATACCAAGTTTTTTGAATGCACTCCATAACTTTTTTTTTTTTGTTAGAGAAAGATGGACTCGCCAATTTTTTTTTAGTTCTTCCCGTAGGTTTTCTATTGGATTTAAATCCGGGTATTGGCTTGGCCACTTCAAAACGTTAACATTATTATCTTCAAAATATTTTTAACCAGTTCGGAGGTATGTTTTGGGTCATTATCTTGCTGATATACTCAACGTAATGGTAAGTTTTCTTCATCTTCCTATATGACATTTTCAAGTATTTCCTTGTACTCCGACGCTGTCTTTTGTTAGTTGTCCGGTATATAGGACCTACTCCATACCAAGAAAAACATCCCCAGACATATTTTTTTTTATGCATTAAATTTAAATCGTAGTATATATWTTTTTTTTTTTTTGTAAATTTGTAAAACAAGCGTGCGACAGTTCATAAGCATCAAAACTGGTTTCTTTAGTGAAAGTTGTGTGCCAACAGTTGGAATTTCGTTGCGCTAATTGATACGTCAAAGTTTTAATACCGCAATGATTTACCGTTATATTTCTGAGGAAAAGTGTTTGCTTTTTCTTGCTTCAAGTTCAGGATAGATTCACATTTACATTGAGCACTAAGGTTTTGTGATTAATTGTAAGTGTACTACAAAATGTTGAAAAGTTCCGAGATTTCTTTAGACTTCCGAAAACCCGTAAAATTATCGAAAGCTATGGCTCAAACAATAATTAAAAATTATAAAAAGAATAGTTGTTACACAAGCGAGTTCAACAAGATCATGACGCCCACATGAGATAGACGAGCGAATGCAGAGGCAAATCGTACGGAATATTAGTTAATGCAGAAACTATACCGCTGTCTAAAACAAAATGGCTTGTTCTGCAGAGTGGCTATAAAAACATTATTTAGTGATGTACACAGGACCAAACGAATGAATTTAAATTCAATATTTTTGGAGATGATGGACACCCAAAAGTAAAACAGCACTTTTCCACAAAAATGTGGTTTCAACCGTAAAACACAGTGAAGGATCAATTATGGTATGGGTCTGCATGGTAGCAAATGGCAGGGTTATTGTTTTTGAAACGCAGCCAGAGGCAGCTAATGCAAAAGTACTTCGCCACAAAAGAACTATGATCACCCCGGTGTTGGACCGATCAGGGTTATTTTTTTTTTTTTGAAACGCGGCCGAAGGCCCCCAGTGCAGAAAGTAGTTCGCCACAAAAGAACTATGATCACCCCGGTGTTGGACCGGCCAGGGTTATTTTTTTTTTGAAACGCGGCCAGAGGCAGCTAGTGCAGAAAGTAGTTCGCCACAAAAGAACTATGATCACCCCGGTGTTGGACCGGCCAGGGTTATTTTTTTTTGAAACGCGGCCAGAGGCAGCTAGTGCAGAAAGTAGTTCGCCACAAAAGAACTGTGATCACAGCGGTGTTGGACCGACCAGGGTTATTTTTTTTTTGGAGCGCGGCCGAAGGCCACCAATGAACAATAAGTCTGAGAAGAGTATATGGGTATGCATTTTTTAATCCAGAGATTATCCTCTTTCAGATTATACCCTCAAATCGCGGCGCCAAAAGAATCGTAATCGTGCCTCGGTTTCAATAATGAGGACATCAACGTCAATTTGAGCTTGTTTCACAACAATATTGGCAGCTGCAAATTCTTCACATAACATCTTAATCTAAGAAACTGCTGTTGGTTTGTTGGAACAGCCATTGATCGATCAAAAACGATATCCGACTATCCGACGATGAAGATGTTTGTTTAGCTCGACGACGTTGTTCTGCAGCTTTGATATTTTTCGTATAATCAGGGTAACCGTCAAATATTATATTAGGTTGTCAAATATCTCCCTTCCGCTTTTTTGCTCTTTATTCAATGCTCTATAAAAGTGTTACAGTGATCGAATTTATTATGCGCCGTTTCGTTCCATAATCTGTTTCCATCTAGACGGCCACTTCGTAATACCCCTCTCGTAGAAGCCCCCCTCCTTATTTGCTAAGAACTCGGATAGCCACTTTTCGCAAGCCTCTTTTGAATTCAACTTTATATAAACAAGGGCCTTCGGCATGTACAGGAACAGGTGGTAATCAATTGTGCTATGTCCAGGCTTTATGGTGGATGCGATAAAACCTCCCCTACGAGCTCCTGTAGCTTCTGACGAGTCATCAAGGAAGTGTGTGTTCTGGCGTTGTTTTGGTGAAACACTACACCCTTCCTGTTGGCCAATTCTGGGCCTTTCTGGTCGATCGCCCGCTTCAAGCGGTCCAGTTGCTCGCAGTAGATGGTAGAATTAAGCGTCTGGCGATATGAGAGCAGCTCATAATGTATGATTCACTTTCAATCCCGCACGATTCACCGGCCACAACCGTTTTCGCTCGATATTGTCGTATGTGATGCATTTTTCGTCGGCAGTCACTAGTCGTTCCGTTTCAGCAGCAGCGGTGATTCTGTCCAGAAGGTTTTTTTGCATCAAATCATACGGCACCCAAACATCATGCTTTTTGTGTACTTCTTGAACACAATATCCAAACTTATCATGCATAGCGTCGTTTTATAGGTTATGTCAAGACCTTTCAAAGAGGTATATTATTGACAAATACGAGCGCTTTACAAATAGCTGCGTAATTCAAAAGCCAAAAAGGCGGAAGGGAGACATTTGACAACGTAATAGTAATGTAGTGACCAAAGTGTCTACAATCATACTCAAGATTTTTGTACAAAATATCCTCTCTCGATCCCAAACAACACGATTTAACAGGTATCCTCCATCGATGATGTAGGTAGCATTTGCACTTTCGATATTAATGTTCAAAGCTGTCATAAATGACTGACTTCTGTGTCTCACGCATCCAATTGCGTTGCAATAAATGGTAAGGGGTTAATTTTTCTAGCTCATCTTCAAATGTCTTCCTAATACTCATGCGTTGAAATAATAATACAGGATCTATTTGGACCTTCTCATCATGACTTTCTCATGACACTTTATCAGCAC